TAGTGAAACAGGGGAAAGGCTGGAACAGGACTAGTTCTCATCTAGTCTCTGTAACATACAAAATTGGGTGATTCTTATATAAGTCATTTAATTGCTGTATACTTCTGTTCTCTATAAAACAGAAATGATGGAGATGCTTTGCTGAGAGGAGTAAATGAGGTAATTGTTTGCCGCTAACATGTAAGCTTCAAGGCCTTTGGCTGTTTTGTTTACTATTATTTTCCCCATTCCCTTAGTGCCTCAAAAGGGCTGGTATTCAATGAAAATTGGTTGGATTGGTAAATGAATAGATGGATGGAGAGAAAGATAAGTGCTAGGCACACTGCCTAGATCCTAGTAATCGCTCGGACAAATGGAGGTTCCCTTTTCTGTCTCTGTATCTTACAACAGCAGTGCAATAAGGAGACTGCTTAGGGAGGGGTGAGTATTATGGGAGAGATAGTTTCCACCTCGTGGCCGTCTATAACCCCTACTCAGAGCTAAGTGCTTATGTTCACCTTGCTGAGCCAGGAGCTCTTAGTAAGTCACCTTGGTTTGAGTCCCACTGTGAAGTTTCTGCCAGGTCCGGTTGCCATGGAAACTCCCTACAGCCCCTGGCTGCTCCATAGGCATGTGGCCTTAGTGAAGGTTTGACCTGCATGCTTTCTTCCTCCAGGACTTCAAAGACAACCGTGGTGATTCAGGCATTCTCTGAGTAAATGGTTGCCCCACAGTGCTGTTCATTCTCACTCCCACTCACGCTTTCTTCTTCTTATGTCCTTCTCTTCGTTTTTTTCTCTTTTTGTCTTCTGCTGCTGTAAGAATAATTGAATTCCTAATATGTTCTGAGAATGTGTTGGACAAATAGGGGAGTCCTAGTTTCTGTTATCAATGAGGAGACAAACGCCAATATCTAGTTTGGAAATTATCATTTACTGAGGGCCTACTATGTGCCACAAACCGTGCTAGGCATTGGACACTTATTGACTCATTTAGCTCTTACAACACCCCTGAAGGCTAAGTCATGTTACAATTTTCTAGGTGAGAAAACTAAGAGCCAATAAACTAGTGTGACTTTACTTCCCACTTGACTTTTAAAGACCCTGGGTTACTGTGATGTGTTAAATGACACAGGAGATGCGATTTAGTCCACCAGGGCAGGGAGAGAGTATGAGCAATTCTGCCCCTGCCCCTCAGCCCTTTGTTCCCAGACCAGAAATTAGCCCTGTGGAGCCTGGGTAGTGTTTTTCTTGTAGTTTGTTAATTAGTGAAGGAAGGGTCTTGGCCACATACACCTCTGCTGCTGTGTGGGCCAGGAATGAGACATGGCTTCTAAGGGTCCACAGGGTGTTCTTATCCATGACTCACTGTGCAGAGTGTCTGTTCCCTGATACAGGGGCCTCTCACTACCTTTCACATCTCATCCTCTGGACCTGTCTTGTCTTCTCAAGAATTTATTCATGCTGGACTCATCATTACATATTTTTTTTCCCCAGAATAGACTCCATAAAACCTAGATTAAAACTTCAATGCTGGCCAGGCACGGTGGCTCTTGCCTGTAATCCTAGCACTTTGGGAGGCCGAGGGAGGTAGATCACTTGAGGTCAGGAGTTCAAGACCAGCCTGCCCAACATGGTGAATCACTGTTTCTACTAAAAATACAAAAATTAGCTGGCTGTGATGGTGTGTGCCTGTAAGTCTGAGGCAGGAGAATTGCTTGAATGTAGAAGGTGGAAGTGGAGGTTGCAGTGAGCTGAGACTGCCACTGCACTCCAGCCTGGGCAACAAAGTGAGACTCTGTCAAAACAAAAACAAAAACAAACAAAAAAGAATGCTGCTATTAACTGTTATTTTAGGGGTTTTGCTAAATGTGACTAGGCTGGAGTAACAGGTTGACTTTTTAAGGTGAGATTTATGCAAGGTGCCAAACCCTAGTCCATCTTTTTAGTAGATAACGTTGATGTTAGATTATTTATGCTCTTTAGTTGCTAAAATATTTGTAGTATATTTTATTTATTTATATTTACAAATATTTATTACAAATATGTATGAAACGGCTTCTTGTGGCACTCAAATAAGAGATAAAACATACTCCTTTTTTTTCTGTGGTCATTTTAGGTTTAGAGATTCCCCGTCTTTGGACACAAGAATCATGTTTTTAATTTACTCTTCTATTTAACATTTATTCTATAACTACAGTAACCTCAGTCTCATGGATAGCTCCTGCCATAAGACATGCTTTGTCCTAGGACTGAGAAAAAAATAAGGTTCTTATCCTTAAATTAAATAACTTCCGGGTTCCAGATGGTGATTTTGGTATGAGAGACACAAAGATGAAGAAGGTGGGATCTTCTCCCTTAAGCAGGTTCTGTTATACGGCCAATGATGGTTGTTGGCTAGAATGCTTTTTGATTGGTCAGTATCTGTGTTATGTTGGTTGCTTATTGTTACTACCATTTATGGGAGTCATCATGCACTTGCTGAGATTCTGTAATGAACCAGTCACCGTGCTATTCACTGGGGCATAATGGTGAGCAAAAGACGCCACTTTCCTTCAAGGAGTTGGCTGTCTATTTACTACACTTTAGGGTTTGGAATAAGGTATGTGGGGATGCACAATGAGTATGGGTAGTATATCTCCCAAGAGCATAAGAAATCTTTATATATGGTGAGTCTCAAAAAGTGGTATGGTGACAAGGAAACAGGTGGATTTTTATCCAAAAGGAACACCACCTACACTAATGTTCACATGATGAAGAGTGTTAATTTAGGAGCACTGCAGTAATTCATCCCTGCTAGTCATTGGGCCAGGTGGGAGAGAGCACGGGAGGTATGAGTGTTGGGAGTCTTCATGAAAGGCCTTGGGTGCCAGTCTAATGAATATGGATCATATCCTGTGACTAGATGCTGTAAAACAACTTGAGAGATTTCAGCAGGCAGTACGGTGAACAGATATGAGCATACCTCCCTTATCCCACAAGCAAACAGACAATAGAAGAGATTAAGGGAGTGGGGTGAAAATACTAAGGACATAGAATAAATAAGACTATACAACTGTTCGGATACTGTAAAGGAGGAAGACAGAAACTCAAAGATGACATCTCAGTTTCTGGCCAGTTTAAATGGCAGTGCTTTCAATAAGCTGAGGATACCAGGAGGAGGAGGCTTTGAAGAGAAAATAATGTACCCTGTTTTGAATGTGTTATTAATATATTTGACATGCTAATGGGTTAGCCACAGAAAGATGTCCAAGAGATGAGGGAAGAGGTTTGCTTAAAAGAAGAGCGTACAAGGTAAAAGAAATTTGGGAGGCATTGCTCTAAAACTGGTAAGCAAAACCTCGAAGAACAAAGCCTAAAGAATGAGAAATGAACGGAGACTCAAAACAGCCTCCATAGAATTTCTTTGTTGGCTCGGCGTCCTCTAACTGTGCAGATCCAATCTACTTTTCCTATTATATCCATAAAATTGTCTTTAATTTTCAGAGGCAAAACCACCCTCCCCACTCTGCGCCCTCTCTTCTAGGTCATAACACAATTTGTCTTATAATCTAATTAGCCATGGATAAGCTTGACTTTTCCCCCTAGCCTATAAACTCCTGAAGAGGAGAGATTATTCTTCTGCTCTGTATGTCTCTCACCTAGTAGCTGCTCAGTAAAGCCTTGTGAAATTAATTTGAACTGATCAGCTTCTAACCGTGAAACTCTTCTAAATGACAAGCATTATATACAAATCATGCTGCATAATTGTCACAAGAACCCTGTGAGATATTTATTATCACCATGTTACACATAAAGAAACAGAAGTTTGGAAGATGGAGATCACAGAGCCAATGAGGACCAAAGCCCAAATTCGAACCCAGAATGATCTAACTCCAAAGCCCATGCTTATTTCCCTAAGCTCTACTGAATGTAACAGTGTAACGTCTTCTCACTTGCCTCTAAGGAGAATGGAGGGTTTAATATCATCTAATTGTTATCAAGAATGACCAGCCAAATTGGGAAGGGAGGAGTGAAAATTACTGCAAGTTTCAGGAAGCCTGTTTCTTTTATGTTTACCCAAAGGAATAAGACGCCCGTTTTGCAGAGTGTTAAACCAAGGCCCAACGAGGGCCCACTGAGGTCACATAGCAGGCACAAAGGTTAAAAACATTTTTTTTCTTTTCTTTTCTTTTTTCAGATTCCCAACTGGAAAATAATAGAATTCCTAAACTTGATGCCACTCCCATTTCTTCACATCATGGAATTATGTATCTTTCTGTGTGTTTGTGTTACCAGGTTTGCTGAAAAGCCCAGTGAACAAGACAGCCCTGACACTGATTGCTGTTAGCTCCTGCATCTTGGCCATGGTGTGTGGCAGCCAGATGTCTTGTCCACTGACTGTGAAGGTGACTCTGCATGTACCTGAGCACTTCATAGCAGACGGTAAGAGCCGAGCATTGCAGATGCTCCACACCCACTCAGCACCTTGCTACCCCTGGCTGGTCAAATGTTTCTATGTATGGCCCAACCTTGGAATTGTTTATATATATATTACAGGGGAAAAAAAGAAGCATCTAAAGACCTTGGAAGAGGATCTTACCATTTGGAGTCTGGATTATTTGAATTAAATACCACTTTTATTTGTTTTTATTTTTATTTTTTATTTTACTTTAAGTTCTGGGATACATGTGCTGAACATGCAGGTTTGTTATGTAGGTATACATGTGCCATGGTGGTTTGCTGCACTTATCAACCCATCACCTACAGTTTAAGCCCTGCATGCATTAGGTATTTGTCCTAATGCTCCCCCTCCCCTTTCCCCCCACCCACTGACAGGGCCCAATGTGTGATGTTCCCCTCCCTGTGTCCATGTGTTCTCATTGTTCAACTCCCACTTATGAGTGAGAACAAGTAGTGTTTTGTTTTCTGTTCCTGTGTTAGTTTGCTGAGGATAATAGTTTCCAGATTCATCCATGTCCCTGCAAAGGACATGAACTCATTCTTTTTTATGGCCACATAGTATTCCACGGTGTATATGTGCCACATTTTCTTTATCCAGTAAACACTGCTTTTATCCTATGAGCAAGGATAAAGTTTATTAAATAAAGGAGGAATTCAAATGTGAATGCAGAAAGATTGAGCTACTTCAGAGAACCTATTGATTCTTATGCTTGTGGATCCATTTCAAAATAAAAATGCTCCCCAGAGAGTATTTGCTAATTAAAAACATATGACAAGAAAGATTGTATAAGTTTTATTGGAATATCCTGAATGTCCTGGATAATATTCATATTATCATTCCCTGTAAATGTACTTTACAAGTATCTTATGTTCTACCATTTACTTTTTACCCAATTAAATTGAATTAATGAGACACTGTGGCCACCATAGTCATTAGCAAAGCATGGTCCAAGACCCTGATTAACGTGCTTGCTATCTATTGCTAAAGTGCCCTCCAGAAAAGCTGCTCCAGTTTACATACTCCAGGACATGTTGGTGTCTGTTTCTCAAACACTTGTCACATGGCATCACCATCTTTAGATATGTTGAAGTTTAGCATAATTCTAATGAAGAAGGCATACCTTAACTCTGCAATTGTGCAGCTTAATAAATTTTTAGTTTCAGAGCTTTTTATGCTTTAAAAATTGTATACATTTTACACTTTTAAAAATGTATATGTGTGGATGAGTTTGAAATACCCGTGAAATCATCACCATAAGGAATGCCATAAACGTAACCATCACCTCTAAAACTTTCTTCTCACTCTAATTTTTTTGTGAAAAGGACATGTAACATAGGATTACATATGAACCGACCCAGATAAAATTATAGAATATTTCCAGCACCTCATAAGGTTTCCTTGTGCCTCCTTCCAGTTAATGCTCTGTAGGGGCAATAAACGTTCTGACTTGTAGCACCACATTAGTACCATTAATTCTTAAAAATAGTTTTGCATTTTGATATGTGTTGAATGTTTCCGAGATCTTTACCCTCTATTTGCCAGTTTTCCTTCAAAGAAACTTGATTTTATCTACAATGTTTGTTTCAGTGTTCAGAACTTAGCACCATCCCTTCAGTATATTGTGACCAGAGCAAAGTGGAACTTTTACCCCCCCAACCCATGTTTTGAAACACCCAAACTTCTATCAATGCATCCTGATTGTTCCCACGTCGCTGTAGTGCAGAAACCCCTACTTGTTTTTCGCTTGTACTGCACGTAAGTTCATATGCATTCAGAGCTTAGTATTTCTTATTTCATATACATTCAGTTGATATTTAGACCTATGTACAAGACTTTGGTTCATCTTTAATGAATCATATGTGCACATAAGATAGGTAACCGTGATGGGGGAGATTGTAGGGGATGGTGTAGGAAGGCAGAAGGAACAAAATTACAGAAACAAGTGGTTTCATGGATTATGCAGCTAGAAGAATTGCCAGAACCTGGATGTGGCCAGAATATAGTGATGGAGGAGCAAGAGTGATGAACACTGAGTTGGAAAAACACAGTAGAGCAAGTATTAACTTCTACAAAATGCATGTCTCCTACCTTTTATCCCTCAGCTGTCACTACTCATTAATTGCAGAATGTTAAGCCTTAAAGGTGTTCAAGTTTTACATATATATTTTCATATATGTAGAAATTGAATCCCTGAGAGAATAACTTGCACAAGGTGAAATAGTTTAATGACTAAGAGCACAGGCTTTGGAATAATATAAACATTAATCCAAATACTTGTTCTGTTGTCTGCCACTTTGATAGCCAAGTGAATTCACCTCTCTGTGTCTCTGTCTCTACATCTATAAAAGGTGGATAACAGTAGTACCTATCTCATCAGAGTGTTCTGAAGACTACAATTCCTATTCTTTATCATGTTCGTCAGATTTTCAGATAGCATGTGACTGAGAAATAGTCAACACCTGGGAAAGAACAAAATTAAGGGACTACCCAAGAGAGCTGCAAATGATCTTGATGACTTGGAAGGACAGACCCAAGTGTGGTGAATTAAAAGCTGCCCTTTCTCAGTGCTCCCAGTGTCATAAACTTAAAATTTTATAACAGCCTGTGGAATTTCTGTCTGGGGTGGAAACAGCCTGTGGAATTTCAGTCTGTTTCTGCCTCTAGACTGGAATCTCTGTGAGGGCAGGAATTATGTCTTTTGGGAGGAAATATTATATTCCCACTGATAAGCAAGGTGCCTGGTCCATAATGGATGTTCAGCAAATATGTGTTCAGTGAATGAACGTTTCCTGAATTACAGCTGAGTTGTGTTCATTATTCTATGGGCTCCTTCTAATAGATCTCTAATCATACAACAGACGCTAAATCAAAGAAAACTAAGGCGGATGATGCATAGAGATCAAAGATGTTTTAAAATGTACCCCTGAAGTTTTAAATGCACCCAAGATTTGTCTGCAGATGTGGAAAGGGCTGTTGTGAAAAGCAGTTTTCATACTCACAGATCTCAGATACACAATGCACAGTACACAGTGTGGGAAAGCACCCGGATCTATCAGAAGACAGAAGGAGCAAGTGGAAAGCATGGGCAAGAGCCTGTATTGTGGTTATTGCAGGAAGAAATGGGTGAGGCGGTGTAAGCAGGGTAGACAGATTTGGGATTGGCTAATTTGAATTAACTTTGGTAGACTCTGTGGTTTTGGAGCTGCTCCTGATTGCCTGGTATCTGGCCCTTGGATGATGGAGGGAGAGGACATTCTTTCCCAGTGTGATTAGCCACATAGAGGAGATGATTGGGGTGTAGGCTCTGGATTTGTTAATTTTCATATGAAAGGCATGCTCCCTGGACAAGCCTTTGCTTTCTCTAAGATATGACTATCCCTGGAGGAGAGGGCTCTCCCCAGTCAGAAGGCTCAGATGCCAGAGCATCAAGCATACAGAAAACAAGAAAATATACTTGATACAAAAAAAGTAGAAATAACTACACAGTGTACACATCTTGGAGATGTGATGGAGCCAGCTTAGAAGACAGCATTGGAAAGACCTTGTCCACAGTATCTTAGTCTCCAGGCACAATGAAATCTCCATCCCTTACATGCCATAATATCTTAGTGGGATTGTGTCCTTTCAAATGAGGTAGGTTTTGGTTTGGATCTCAATTTTGTTGCTTCTTTACTGTGAAACATAGGAGAGTCAAGTTAGCTACCCGAGTCTCATTTTTCTCATCTATCCGAAAAATAAGGATTATTATGAGATGATTGAATGTCATAATATATATAAAGTGCCTAGTAGAGTATCTAAAACATTGGGATAGCCCAACAAATAGTAGCTGATATTACTCTTATTATTAAAATAGTTTGTAAAGAGAGAGACTTCAGAAGCTAGAACATGGCAATGCAAGAAAATATAGAAAATCAAATAGGTGAATTTAGCTACTCTCAGTGAGGTGAATGGAAGAGGAAGTATATTATATGCTCTGTTCTAGCTGAAAGTGACTTTCCCACTTGAAGACAGTAACACTTGAAAGTCCTCCATCTCTGGGGTTCAGCAGGAATCCTGGGAGCAGCCGGCCCCTGAAGCCAGATGGACACCTGTCTGGTAATTCCAAGCAAGCTCACCTTTCTCAGCATAATCCCAAAGCCTCCTTTGGCAGAAACTTTATGGGAATTGCTCATCTCACTCCTCCAACAGCTCTCCAAAGTGGTCTTTATTATCCACTTTTGGCAGATACAGAAACTGGGATGTGAAGGGTAGTAGAATCCAGTCTTCTGTAGGAGTAGAGAAGGATCTAGAAAATTGATTTTAAAAATTGTACTAGTGGAGCTTCCAGCTCTGATTTCTGGAGATAAGAGGGTATTACATAAGGGACTAAGAGGGAAAGTGATACTAGTGCCTACTTTCTTGAACCCATATCATCCCTTAGTATTGATATTTATAAATGTGTTATAACTTAAATTAAATATGGTAACAAACACAGATGGAAAGTGCACAATTCGGTTATATTTTACATGCATGTATTCACCCACATCATAATACTGGCCCATTAAGACCGGAAAAGTTTTAAAAAACAATAAAAACAAAGTCTTAATGAGGCCTGTCAGAATGAGGGCAGCCCATGTCAAGTACAAGAAGCTCCATTTGAGATCAGGTCTCCCAGGGACCAAGGCCAGGGCAGCTTTCATCCTTTTTGAGTCACCCCCATGAGTGCTAAGCTGCCAAGGTGCTGGCCCTTTCTTAGTAGAGAGAGCTCTCAGTCACCCTTACACACTGAGCTGTCCATGGTGCTGGATCATTGGATGGGGCTGAGTAATGGGTCCTGTCTTCCAGGAGAAAATGAATTCTGCCCTTGTGTTACTGCATAGTTATACTCGATGCTTACTGTACGTTATAAAGAAAAGGTCATTATGACATAGCAGTTGTTCAGAGCTCAGCTGGCAAGAGTTCTGACACAGTTCCCATCCAAACTCTTGGCAAATCTCACCCCTTCTTTTATCTGGGCTTCTTCAAAACCTTCAGTGGCTTTTTGCACTCCCAAGCACACACTGAAGAAATGGAACATGTTTGCATCTAAACAGACTTAAGCTAGCTTTGTTTATCCATCTGTGGACTATAAATCATCTGCATTTAGGTCTTCTGGGGAGTTAATTCCCAGAACCAGTAAGTCAGATTCTCTGAGGGTAGAGCCCACACATTAATATTCTTTGCAAGAACTCTCTAGATGGTCACTTATGAAAGCTTTGAGAGCTATGCCAATATCTCTGTAAGTGTTACTTTTTTTCCATCTAACATAAATGATCACTCCTTCAGACCTTTTGGAATCATTATAAGCATCCTTGATAATGGTCTTTGGTTTCCTCCACCTTTGACTTTATGAATGCCCTATTAATGGAGCTGCCTCATAGCATAACTCCAGTGACTGTCAATAGCATTGGATATAATGTGAGTAGTCTACTCTTAAGGTTTATAATATACTAACCCTGATCACACAGGTTTGGGCCTCATCAAAATTGTCATGCAGTTAGCCTTATTGAGAAATAATTATTTGTTAATATTAAATCAATCTTAGCTGAGATCCTAGTTTATGCATCTACGGAGGTTCCCAATGAAAGTCGGTATATATTCACCCAATGTGGTCAGCCAATAGAAGAGTCTGCTTTCAAAGGAAAAAGCTATTTAGGTGAAGTAGGTAAGATGGTTCCTCTCCAGCGTAGACAGGTAACATTCCCCCTAGAGTTCTCTGTTTTGTTCCAAGAGTTGTTATACATTGGAAGTTATTCAAGTGAGAGGATTTGGCAGTTAAAATATTGAGAAAGCACTGTAGATACCCAATGACCTCTTAAGGAAAAGATGGAAGACATTCAATAACAAGAGTTGAAGGAACCTAGACAGGAAGGGAACTTACTATTATTGAGTATGCCTGTTATCTATTGAGCAGCATAAAAAACACTTTACATAGGATTCTTCATTCAGTTCTCATAGCAAAACTGAGAGTTGGGATTTAGTATCCTCATTTGCATACTTGAAAAGTGGGGCTTAGGGATTTTTACAAGATTAACACACAGATGACGTGGTATGAAAACCTAAGTCTACCTGAGCCCCCGGTCTAAGGGTCTTCTATGTTCTAAGATTCCAGAGAGGAGACCAGGATTTATTTATTTTGAAGAGAGCAGGCTGGTTCTGGAGGTTTTAAGGAAGCACAGCTAGAGAGCTATATGAGTGACGAGTATGGTCAGGGATGGGAGAAGATGAACCCTAGTTTGGAAACATCTTCCTCTGATGTTGACTGTGTGACTTGTGCTAGTTACTTAAACATTTTAAGCTGCAGTTACATTATCTATAAATTGGGGATAATAGCAGTACTTATCTCATAAAGTTATTGTGAAGAATAAGTGAAATAATACTGATAAAGCTTTTAGCTCAGTACCTAAGACCTAGTAATGGCTCAATATATTATATAAATGTTATAAGTTGTAATAATACTTTCTTAATATTGGAAGGGGGTCATTGCAAGAAAATGAGTTCCCCATCATAGAAAATCTCCTGTGAATAGATGATCACATTTTCATGAAGCTGTAGAAGAGAAGGGAAGAGATGTGTTTGGCTTGAATACACGATATTTTGTTTTGGAGCCATCTTATTAGACTGTAAATTTTAAAACCACTTAATTTTTTAGAACTTTTAGAATATGTTTTTTTATGCCTTAGTACTTCACCCAGAGTGTTACCAATGCTTTGCATAGGCTCAGAAATTGGTGAAAACCAGGGATGTTGCTATCTCTTGAATACATTACTTAGCTAAACTCTCTCTCTCTCTCTCTCTCTCTCTCTCTCTCTCTCACACACACACACACACACACACACACACACACACAAAATTTTATGTATTGATATGATTGTTACATTAAAATACCTATGCTAAAATGTCTTTTTATTCAAGTCAATTTAAATGGTTAACATCATCTTTTAGGTTGAATTAAGTTGACAGCCAAGTCTTTTCTGTTCCCTATGACTGAGGTATTTGGGCTCTGAGTATTCCTTCTTAGCCCATGAAATCATCAAGTATAAATGCCCACATATTGGGATGGCATAGTTCACTAATATGCCACACATGTATCTGGTTTTGAGCATAAAATTGTGTACAATAACGTGTGCCTACATTTATTTGCTTTTTTCCCTATTTGATGTCTCCCATCCCAAAAGAGTGAGCTAATGCATGGTTTCATGCTGTTAGAGAAGAATGAAGTCCAAAATTGACTTCAGAACTAGTTTGCAGTGATTTTAATACATATAAAGAGTATTTTCAATTCTTAGAAGGGAAAATTATACCACATTGAAAGTGGATCCCTAGCCACAAACTGCCAAGCAATTTATTTAAAAATAATAGTTCCTTGGACATCCTGCTCTCTGAAATCATCCCAGGCTTTGTTTTAAAATGCTCGGTGTTGACTGCAGGTCTTTTAATACTGTGGAACATGCTCATGGGTGGAAGTTGTATACAATATGGCTTCTGTCTTTTTCTTCATTAACTCATTTGCACAGCCTTGTTACTGTTTAGACAAATAGACTATCTTATCTGGTACCTGCCTCTCTATATGCCTTTGCTTATGCATTCCTCTTCATCATATATTTCCATATATGGCAATCTCACCTATGTCTATGGCATAACTTATTTTTCTCCCTCCTCTAGCAAACCTTCTTCAATGAGTCCCCAGAGACAAAAATCCTCTCCTTTCATATACATTACCTAGAACTATATATGCCTTTCTAAAGACTTCAGTCTAACTCCTGTGACTGTTACTGTTACATATGTGTCATGGAGACAACTGCCACAGTCCTACAAACTGACCTTCTGCTTTAAATCTAGCCTCTCTACTATCTTTTCTCAATAGTGCAAACACAGCAATCTTTTACAATTAAAAATATCAATACCTTGCATACATGTATTGTATACATGCCATGCTTTCTGTAAAACTGTTTATTGTCTTCTTTTCTACTTGTTTTGAAGACTGAAGTTCTTATCATGGTCTTTGCAGCCTTGCAGGGTCAGGCCCTTGCCTGCCTTTTCAGTCTTACCTCACACTACCTCTCCCTGTATCGGCTCCTTAGATTTCTCTGTTGCCTCCTGCCTCAGGGCCTTTGCACATATTGTTTTCTTTGCCTGAAAACTTCTTCCCTCATCTCCAGCTTCTCTCATTTACCCTATGGTAATGGACTTTCCTTATTTACTTCCCAGCCTCTGTTAGCTCCTTTACTAATCATTCTCCTTGAATCCTGCCTTTTTTCCTTATTACACTTATTTCAATGTATAATTGTATATTTATCTAGTTAGTGTTCTCTCCCACTAGGTTTCAAGTTTCATAAGGATAGAGATTATATTTGTTTTGCACAATTGTATTCAGAACCTTGGACAGGGTTCAAAACTTACTTGATTCCCCTAAAAAGCTTTCACTAAGTTTGTTGTTGTTGTTGTTGTTGTTGTTTTTAAGTTATTTCAGGGGTTAGACTTGAATTTTTTCAAGGTCAAGGACCACAGCTTATTCATGTTCTGACTTATTGTGATGCCTAATAGAGGTTCTGTAGGCATATAAGACATTGTGTCTGTAAAAAATGAAGTAAGGGAGGACTGACAGGTGGACCCAGATGATCTGGGAAGATACACCCTAAAGAATGACAGTGCAGAGGTCTGAGGCTACCTCTTCTTCTGTGATTGACTTCACTCCCCCAGGATGTTTCTCCCATCCCCCAAAATAAACTCCAATCAAATTCACACACCCCTTCTCAACACCAAAATGAAACAAGCTTCATGCTGGAGCCTAGAAAGAAGGGAAATATAAATTGAGCTGAGATTCAGAACCCCCATAGGGGAGGTGGCAATGAAATACCAATAAACCATATTAATATGCTGAAATCAGGAAGAATAGCTTGAACTCCAACCTAGACTTAATAACTATACGTGAGAGAGTACAGGGAGAAGGCAAGGCAAGATTTCAGTCAGAATTAAAATGAGATCTGTAATGAAATCGGTAATATAATTATAAACTGTGAAAACTTTTTTTCCTCTTCTTTTTCTTCTATTTAGTAGCCAACTTGTTTAGCAATGGCTGGGAGCTGTGGATACCCCTTAGAGTAAGATTCTTTTTTTTTTCCAAATCTCTTCATTAGGAAAGTCTAAATCCACAAAACCATGGAAGAAAAAAAAAAGATGCTTCAAGCCATTTTCTGCCTTAAATAGTAACTGATCCTGAGGTTAAAGTGACAAGCGGCTTGGGGAAGAACAAACCCAGAAAAACCATTCTAAGCAGCTGAATATGTTCAAGCTTTTAAAGATACCACAGCAGCCAGTGGGACTGTGATTTTTAATGACACTCCATGCTAAGATATTAGCTTGGCTTCCAACCAGAATGAATTGTTACTAATTTCCCTTCATAACAAAAAAGATAACTGAGTTTGACGTCCAAAATTGGAGACTAATTTCTGTGTTTTGATAGCAGATTGAGTCCAAAAATATGTTCCCAGGAACTGGGGCAGAGGGTTGTTGCAAGGAGTAGGCAAACTCAATTTGCTCTCATTAATAATTCCGTTCTGTTGTTGTGAACAGGAGCCCACTTTGACTTTTAGAATGGAAAGAGAGAATTGGTGAGAGCTTTGATGAGATTGAGTTCAAGACTGTAGAGTTAGTTGTTCCATTATTATTGGCTTGAGGTTTGCAAAATAGTGTAGAATTGAGGCTGTGGAGCAGTCTACCGGAGAAAGAAAGTAATATGGTGAAGACATTAAGTGCATTGACCTGTGTCCCAGGAGATGTGGATTTCAGACCAGTTCATCTGCTTTCTGGCCAGTTTCTTTATTATCTAAAAACATGCAACTACCCCCTTCTTCAAAGAGTGTTTGTGGGGTGATTAAATTAAAAGCATCTTGCCATCTGAGAGGGTAGTTATGATTATGAGAATGTTGTGTCTTTGCCTCACTGTTTGTTTACAGCTTTAATATGTATAAAGACAACCTCAGGGCTGGAATAGGATCTTAGCAGGTTAAGGCTAGGTAAGGAAAAGGTACAAAACTAGGGAGGTCAGCTTCCCTTGGCTAGAAGAAGGAAGCTAGATAGTTAAAATGCACTGATACCACCACTCTTTTATATAGTGTCTGCTTTTTCCCTTTCTTCCTTCCTCCTCCCCTCCATTTTTTCTTTTTTTCCCTGCTATGGTCAACAGATATTTCATACTGTATTCTCTGTGGCATGCTTAGATACTAGGGTGCAGAGACAAATAAAACACCACCTCTGGCCTTCTCCAGCTTAGTGGTGGTGGAACATGACAAGTCAATAAAAGAAGAAACTCATTGTGAATGATTCATAATGGGGCTGTCCTAGGTGCTGTGGAGACACTGATGTGGAGCAGACAAGTATCCCAAGCTGGAGATGTGAAGAAGGTGTCTCGAGGAGGTGCTACCTGAGCTATATTTTAGAGCCATTGGCACTTATCTGGAGAAAGGCAGTGGGTGATGGCAAGCTTCCCAGGGAAGGGCATGGACATGTGCCAGTGCATTCATATAGACCCTGTTTTCCAAACCTCCCAGTGGTTGCAATAACACTGGTAATGATTAGGAATGTTTACAGAACAGTTGCTAAGTGCCAGGTCCTATGCTAAGTACTTTACAAGGTATTACCTTATTTCATTCTATTACCTCATGAAGTAGATTCAGTTATTATCTTCATTTTAAATTTAAGGGATACCTAAAAATTTAAAGGTCATGTACGCCTAACGAGGTTGTATGACCACCTTAGTGTTACACAGGTGGGAAGAGGCTGAACAGAATTACTTTAAATCAACATCCACAGAATGTGATAGAGAAGCTGATGACTGTGATCATCCTCTGACTCCCCTGTGAATTCACCCCAACTTGGAAAAATCTCTACTTCTTCAGACCTCAGTTTCTTCATTATAAAATATGGGAGGGAACAAGATGATACTTAAGATTTTTCCCTGCCCCAATATCTTAAAGGAGAGGGAGAAATACAGGGGTTCAAAGTCCCCCTTTACTCATCTCATGATGGACGATGACCTTCCAAGTCCTCACGCAGCCATCACATTAGTGTCCTCAGTACTCTTTCTTCAGACTGGTTTGGGCCAAGCTGCTGTCAGGCAGCCCTTGAACAAAGGAGGTTGGGAGCAGAGACAGATGAGCGAACCTTCCATAGCCCACAAGTTGCCATTTGAAGAAAGCTTAGAAGGATCACAGTCAAGCTTGCGGAGGGACTTCAGGCTCCCAAGGCTGCCTGGATGAAAAATAAAGTGGTGGGAAGCCTGGGCCATGGTGGGAAAGACACCTGCCTCTCCCCAGCCTCCCCTCTTAGCCCCAGCTGCAGAAAGACCTTGAACATCTCTGATGCCAGCAGGAGTTTGGGAGGGGAAGAATGCATTGTATTCACATGGGAAAAGATAAGATGGGAGGAATAATTAAAACCCGTGCATCTCCACTCCCCCTTCACCAGCCCTGGTACCCGGCAAAGCCTTGCTATTTGGCTTTTCTCCCCAGCGTATTCCTCTGGATTATGTAAGCCAAATATATCTGCAGCTGCTCAGCCTTGTGTTTTCCAGAAGCTCTTGGCAACTTTCTGAGCCTCAGCTAATGGCTGGGGCATCTCACCATCAGCTGGAGTCACCCCTGGGGCCTGGACCATCCCTGAACCTTCTGTTTATTCCCTCCCTGTCTTTAACTCTGTTTCTCATTTAAATTTTATAGGTGAGTTCATACATTCAGACTTTCAGCTGACATTTGCTGAGTGCCTTCTCAGGGCCAGGACTTAGATTCTGGAACAAACTCAGGCATAGTCAGCATTAAAGGTGGGTGAGGTGGGGGAAAGAACATGAAATTTGGAATCTTAAATCCTCAGGTTTAAATCTATGCTCCTCCTCTTACCAATTATGGATCTTGGACGAGTCACTGTACTTCTCAGAACCACCAGTTTTACCATCTATGAAAGTGAAGCTATAAGCCCCTACTTCACAGGGTGGTGGTGAGGGTGAAACAGAGAGTGGCATAAAAATAGCCAAAAATAGATGGGTAGAAAACGCTAATCACACCCTCATAGGGATCATATGTGTCATTTAAAATGACAGGATAACTATAAAGCAAAAGGCTACTATGGAAGGTAGATGAAAATCTGAACCGTCAGGGTATATAGACAAGAGTCAGCCAGGTTGCGAGGGAAGCTTGGAGTCATTTCCACTGGGGAGATCTGGGTAAAGCTCCAGGAAGCAAGAGGATTTTGCTAGAGTCTGTTCCCATTTGAGGAAACTGGATGGGCAGGGATTGGGAGTGAGAGTGTGCATTTCTGTTGGAAGAGGGAAGAGAGAAGGAGGACAAGAAGGGCAATCTTCCAGGTAAAGAACATCATGAACAAAGGTGTGGCAGGAGCAGGTAGCATCCAGCAAGGCTGGGGATCTGTGGGGGCATGAATGGATCTAATGGGGGGGTTAGCCAGGAAGAGCAGTTGGGATTTTTATCTTGGAGGTAGGTTGGGAGTCATGGAAGCACTGAAGGATTTTAATCAAAGAAGTGTAAAGGTCACAGTTGCTTTTACAAATTAACAAGGCAACTTGTTAATTCAGAGTTCAGGCTGTGGAGTCAGACACACCTGGGTTCAAATGCTAGCTCTATGAAATAATAGACAATAGATGTTACCAATGTTACTTAACCCTTCTGGATTATTTCTTAATCTGTAGGGTTGTGAGAATTAAACAAGATTGTATTTCTAAAGTACTTGGTAATGTTCATTTTTGTTGGAATCACCATCACCATCTTTTCAGTCTAAGTCGAGTCCTGAGCTACTTCTTTTTGCATTCAGTGCATTTGCAATTATTTCTTCAATGTCTAATTTGGTTACGAGTCT